TGTTGTTGTTGTTGTTGTTATGTGCCGTCGAGTCGGATCTGACTCATAGCGACCCCTCCTTGGGTTTCCCAGGCAGTATCACTACAGAAGTAAATTGCCCAACCTTCCTTTCAAGGAGTGGCTGGTGGGTTTGAACCACCAGCCTTCTGGTTAGCAGTCAAATGCCTTAGGCACTACATTAATATGTGCCTCATAACAAAGTTTAAAATACATGAAGCAAAACTAAGAAGTAAAGAGAGAAATCGATAAATGCACAATCACATATAAAATGCTTAAGAATAAAGTGAACAAAATATGTATAAGACCTCTACACTGAAAACTATAAAACACTGCTGAAATTAAAGAAGACATAAACATAGGGAGAGAGAAGCCATATTCATGGATTGTTAAAGTATCTGTTCTCCCCACGTTGACCTATTGCTTCCATGCATCCCCAAATCCCAGCAAGTGTTTTTAAGTAGAAAGCAATGAGCTGATTCTAAAACTTATGTGGAAATATGTGGACTATATGGAACAATGGACTCAGAGTAGCCAAAACAATTTTGAAAAGCAAAATAAAATCAGAGGACTCATACTCCTTGATTTCAAGATTTACTCACTGTAAAACTACAGTAATCAAGACAGTTCAGTATTGGCATAAGGATAGGACTTCTTTCTTTGACCCTAGCTACCTGCAGCTAGGTCAGACTTCACATGTTAAAGGACACAGTCCAGTTGCCAAGTAGGCCCAAGACTTCAGATGTCAGTTGCAAGTTTGGGAATCCACACTACATAATTTCTTCTGACCTGGTGCCTATAAACTTGAGATTTTCAGGATGCCAGCCACAAGCTTGGGAGCCTCCCCTGGACTATCTCACTTCTGACCTGCTGGTTATAAATGTTGGGATTCCCTAAACCCCCTTCAGGATACCAGCTCAGAGATCCCAGCCCCCTTCACTTCTGAGCTTCTGGCTCCTACTACTTACTCCCTCAGGTTTGATCATTTCCTGAAATGACTTACAGAACTCACAGGAAGCACTGTACTTATGATTAGCTTTGTTAACAAAAAGGATACAAATAAAGAGAGGCATAGGGTGAGGTCTGGGAGGGTTCCTAATGTGGGGCTTCTGTTTCCCCAGGGTACACTACCCTCCCAAGCGCATCAGTGTCTTTCACCAACCAGGAAGCTTATGGAGATTCAATGTTCAGAGTCTTTATTGGCTTCATTATGTAGGCATGATTTTTTTTTATTAACTTTTTTTTTTTTAATTGTGATTTGGGTGAAGATTTACAGAGCAAATTCACTTTCCATACAGCAGTTCACAT